AAGTTTATGTATTTTTTTTTTTTTTTTTAAAAGAATTAAGATCAAGTATCGTAATTTTTATAGATTCCTATTTCATATATATTTAAAAATTTATGTGCACATAATAAATAAAATTGAATTTTAATTAAACCTAATTTTTAATACACAATATTTTTATATGTTTTAATATATTTTATATATTTTTATTTGATAGAATGATATTTAATATTTATTAGAAATAATAAAATTAATTATAGATTAATTATAGAATTAATTAGATATCGAAGCTCTTTCTTGAATTTGTAAATCTTATAGAACGAGATAGACAAGGAGAGCAAATAGTGGAAGAAGGACAGAAATAGGATAAAAATATGGAAATCAGCGCCATCTTCAGAGTGCCTCAAATGAAACTCAATAAATAAGGAGAGCAAATAGTAGAAAAAGGATAGAGATAGAATAAGAATTGAAATCTAACGCCATCTTTCATCTAACTATCCAAAATATGCTTCTTAAAGTATTTAAGAGATGGCGCCAATAGTCAATTTTAAGAAATATGGAAATCAGCGCCATCTTCAGAGTGCCGCAAATGAAACTAAATAAATAAAGAGAGCAAATAGTAGAAGAAGGATAGAGATAGAATAAGAATTGATCGTCAGCTCCATCTATCGAATATTAAAAGTATTACTTTAAAGACAGGGTAAGGTAGAATAAGAATTGAAGGCTAGCGCCATCTCTTATCTATATACGAATACTAAATTATACGAATACTAAAAATATGTTTCTAAAAGTATTAAAGAGATGGCGCCAATAGTCAATTTCAAGAAATATAGGAATCAGTGTCATCTTCAGAGTGCCGCAAATGAAACTAAATAAATAAGGAGAGCAAATAATAGGAAAAGGATAGAGATAGAATAAAAATTGATCGTCAACGCCATCTCTCATCTGAATGCCAAAAATATATTTCTAAAAGTATTCGAGAGATGGCGCTAAGAGTGACTTTTCAATTTATTTTTACCTTTTTCCCACTATTTATTAGCTTTTTTTATGTGAATTCCATTTCTCTTTTAAAATTACTGCTATTTCTTAATCTTTAATGTAAAAAATAGATATTATACTTCAATATTCATTCAAAATCACGAATCTTTGATAATTTGCATTTATTCTTCTTAATATTTTTATAATTTAAATTTTCTTTATTATTTTTAAAAACTAGCAGTTTTTAAGAACATAGCAGTTCGAGGATGGAAATAATGGAAATGGAAGACACTCGTTTATTTGAAAAATATTTAATAATAAACATTGACAATATACAGAGAAAATACGCCATAAGAAGTCGCTATGGGAGTAATAAGAACCTAACAACTGGTCCAGACTTACAAAATATCATCAAATCAGACAATGATAAAGGTGTTCCGAACGACACCCCGTGTACTCCTATCAGTATTTTGCAACTAAAGTTTCGAGTTGATCTTGTATCCTTGTTCTCTCGATTCTTTTTTTTTTTTTTTGTATTCTTTAACCTGACGTTTTTATATTTAATTCTTATTTATTTATTATTTTATTTATTTATTTATTTTTTTTTACTTTTTTGCTTTCTTTTCCTGCGGATTCATCGATATACTTCTCGAATTTCCATCGCGTGTAAATGTATTTTTGCGCGGATGTGTGAGTATAATGTAATTCTCAACTTTCCTGCGTTTTTCTCGGCGCAAATGTCTCTTACGCCTACTTTAGCATATTATTTCTTTTTTTTTTTTTTCATTTTTAATTCTTTTCCTCATACGTTGGATTCGCAACCAGAAATCGATGGCTGTTCGCACTCGTCCCCCGTTGCGAATCCGTTTACACTGCGAGAGAAGCGAAAAACAGGCGGCATTTAGCTTTTTTTTTTTTTTTTTTTTTTACCATTTTTCTTTTCCCATAATTAATTTTTTTTTTTTTTTTTTTTTTTTTTTACGATGTTCTCTATCTCATAATTAATTTTCTTTTTTTTTTTTATATATATTTATATCATTCTTCACATTTTCTGCTTCTTCTTTTTCCTCGTTTATCGAAACGTTATTACTAATCACCCTCCATTTTTGTATTTCGACCATCGAATCGCGCGCGCCAATTTCTCACCACCGTTCCCCCACCAACTTCTCTCTTTTCTTTCCCCCTGATCAATCGCTGATAATAATTCCCCTTATGTCGAATGAATCCAAGAACTTATTTCTAATCGCGCCGATTCGACGAGGGCCAAAATCATCATCACGCTCATTCAATACACGACTCTCTCCATAATATCACCCACGCACTCTCTAAATTATAGACTTATTATCGTTAATAACGCCCTAATGTCATGGAACATCCCTTATTTGTTAATTTTTCTCCCCTTTTCTCTTCTTTTCCTCGTTTGTCCATCTCTCTCTCTCTCTCTCTTTCTTTCTCTCGCTNNNNTCTCTCTCACACACTCTCTCTCTCTCTCTCTCTCTCTCTCTCTCTCTCTCTCTCTCTCTCTCTCTATTTGCCTCGCGATAATTCGAAAAAAAGAAGATGGCCGCGTGTCGCGCTCGAAATCCTCCTCGGTTGATTGCCGCGTGGATTGTATGTGTATATATAGTGCGCCCAATTGTCTCGTTCAAATTAATTAAGACGAACCGAGAGAATGTCGAATTCTCTCCGAGAGAGAATTATCCCAGTAGTAAAAGAGAGCGGAGGAAAATGTGCGTTCGCCACGCGCGCGAATTTTGAGATTCCGACTGGCGGAGGATTAGGAGCGGAACGGGGCCCACGTTACGCCGCCTAGTTACGCTAGGATATGTTGCTCGTAAAGATGTGTCGTTTACGTAAGTCATGTTAGTCATCTAGATTCACTTCTTTAAAAATCCCGTTTACGGTTTTACTGCCTTTAATTAATTAATTAATTAATTAAGAGTAGAATCAATATTATTTATATTTATGTATAATCGGTGCGTATCGATCGTATTGGATTTATTTTACAATGCGATTCCAGTTTACCCGCTAGCACTCGAGAACGTACGCGGTTGAAGAAAGAAAAAGATAATAATACATGATAAAATGATCAATGACAACAAGCGAAAAAAAAAAAGGGAGACGAATTCGTCGGACGAGATGGAATTTTTCTTCGTTCCATCACTCGTT